AGTCAATTTTGGGTTCCATTTGAAAATCAGCGCTGCAGTACAATAAAACTGCAGCAATTTGCTGAAATGGAGTTCCAATTTGACGCCAAAATAGTTTTTTTCTGGATCTTCTGTTATAATTTTTTTTATTTAAGTGATGTAAAATAAAGAGATTTTCTTTCTTTCTTTATAAATTCCTTCATAGGGTTGTGTTCGTTTGAAAAACTGGACACACACAAAAAGCAGCAACGCGTGGACACCGCAGTCTTGTACACTTTTATAAAATGTGCCTAGTTAGTTAGCAGCCTGCATGAATGTATATACATATATTAATATCATTACTAGTTAAATGGAGGCGCATGGGAGCGTTGACCACCGCACTGTCATCGTTTGGGACCGCGGCGTCAATTAATACTATATCCATAACTTTTTACATTTGCGACACACTGCGCACACAGAGAGAACGTTTGTGTGCGTGCTAGATGTTTATGGAACGTGATTTGCATCGAAAGTTCCATTTCGTGTTTTTCAAACAAGCCAACTTGTACCGTTAAACGTTTGACATTGTTATAAATTTCCCAATGCATAAATCACATATATTTCGTTGTGTTATTTTTTAACCCTGCATACCTTATCATCACAGACCGACGATCTAATAGAAATGAAATGTTAATATTTTCCTCATGTTATGAGATATTATTTGGGCAACGTGTTTTTATTAAATAATATGAAAATAAAATATTCTCTATGAAAATTAAGCAATTTTCTGGATTTTACCAACTTACAGTTGGTATGTCAGCACGGCCACGGGAGCCGTACTCGTGGTCTGATATGAAACAATTAATTACACGACTTTAATACATTACTTAATGTATAAAAAAACCGTTACTTGGTACATATTTGCTGTATATTGTTTATTATAGATACCTGTAAACAGTTACTTATTTTGCCTTTGCAATTTCAATTTTAGTTCATTCTACCGTTAGTTACTAGTAGTTAACTCTACCGTTTCAATAAAATCGCGCCGATTTCAATTCAGTAAGTTGTTAGTGAGCAATTATTGATTTAAATATTTTTTAATTGTAATAAAGACTTCAGTGTTCTGCCAATCGGTACTCTAAAGACAACATGAAAGCGAAATGTATTGATAAAATTCAAGTAGGCTATAGTAATTACTTCTACAACCCGACTACTTACTGGCACGAATTAAACAATTTATCAGTTGACATGACAGGCCATCGATTAGATCTATGGTCTCATTATCTCTGATCCGGTTTAATGAAATATCGGGCTGGATCTCGGAATAAATTGGCTCGGATAACTTTAATAAGAATTTTAGTTTGTTTCGGAGTATTGTTCATGATTTTCGTTCTATCGAGCGGAGGTAAAACAATGCTCGAGGCGTTGGTGGGGCAACGAAGTCCATTATTATTCCCATTTCAGCGTTTACTGCAATTAGAGACCATTCCGCTTAAATGTAAATTCCATGGTAGATATCAAGTAGGTCGTTACTTAGATATAGATTATTAGCAGAAGGGAACAGGTTGATTTGGTAAGATCCTATATCAACGAAGGGTATCCGTAGTTTAAAGTCCTATCAAAAGACTCCACATGGAAAAAATCGACGACCTTTACGATTTTGGTTTGGAACTATGTCCGTTGAGGTATTAATGTCACTACATAGCCATTCAACTGTGCCTATTCCACTGATTTGAAAAATGTTTAATTTATCAAATGTTTGTCTGAAATCTGCGAGATTAGAAAACACAATTTCCTATGATGTAGGTTAAAATGAAAAATATGTATGTAGAAGAGGTCATGGAAATGCTATTTTACGCAGGGTAAATTATGATATTAACTTCGAGCCTTCATATTGTTTGCGGCACTTTGTTCTTACCGCTACATCGTGTAGTTCTTGCTTTGATTAACATTAACCGAAAGATCTCGCCACACCATATGTTGACTGGTGAAGTATTCCTTGTGGCATTACGTCCGCTTTTTGTAATCTTCGATGACGTAGGCTACGCAATAAGGATAAAAAAAATACTAGGTTAAAATGATATATTAAATAAGTTTCCTACTACAGTATACCTTAAATTGTTTTCCGTGTGATTGGTTGCAAACAAACACAATTCAAAAATTAACTTATTATTTATATTTTTGACTCGGAACTTTCATCTCGTAGTGACAGTGACTGTATTCAAGCCAAGAGTGAATATACTGTTACTGCGCTAGTGTGTTAAATCTACATCTATATTCACCGTCAAAAGGGAGATAGTAAAAAAAAAATTTAATGATCGAGTCATTAATTATTCTGGGTAATAATTCTCAATTCGAAAAGCAATTACTATTCAATGAATACGATTACTCGTATATTTTTTATTCGCTTGTCAAATTAAAAGTCCAATTAAGATTGTTCTACGAAACTGAAAGATATTTATTACATCTACAGAATTGTTGCTATTGTAGCTTATCGAATAGATTTTAATTCACTTACGGCATTAAATAACATACGCCTTAAATAAATTTATCTGTATCGCTTATAAATTGAGAAATTTATTAAGAACGGAAACCTTTAAGGCGTTGAAGTAAAATTAAAAAAAAAAAAAACTATAAATTAAGTTTCCGTTACAGCAGAATGGGCGTTGTATTTTGGATCGCATGTATAATTTTATTGTTAAAATTTTGATTTAGTTGGTTCTTAGAAGTTTACGGGAGAGATACCTATCTCTCTCTTCGAAATGGCCTTTAATAAGGGCAGACAAAGAGAAAGATACTGTTATAACTCCTAATGGAATTGAGTGATGATTTATATGGTTGAGTTGAAAGTTTATAACTTTTATGATTTACCGTCTAAACGAACGTAATCAACGGTCCAACGCGGCTTGAATAGAGTGCTCGCTCGCGTAATTCTGTTGCCAGTTTTGGGGTTCCGTGGTTGGTAAACAATACCGTGGTACTCGGTATCTACCACAAATACACAGATCAATACAATTTAATTTTTCATAATTACAAATGTATCGTTTGCAAACGCCGAACCAAGAGGATGGAGTCAAAGTTCTTTAAATTACTTTTAATGGAACTTACCCCATAGCACTACTGAGAGGCTTTTACACCATTATTACGTTGCAAAACCGAAAGAAGTATGGTTGTTTGACAGAAAACCAATGTACACATAAGATGTGTAGACAAATTGCCGAAAAGTAATGGAAGCACACTAAATGTTGCCAAGGATTGCCAATAAAACAGAGTGGACAAGATGTCAGGATCTACGCAAGGTGAGGATCGACCGCTTAGCTAAGTGGTCTGGACGTGTTCCCGGAGGGCATCCGTCTGTTTCATGTACAATGCTGAACTAAAATAAAATTAATGTACAATGGATATGTTTTTGAAGTAAGTCTTGGGACTGTGCTAACTTGATGTCCTCCGTACCAGTTACTCTATGACAAGTAAACGACTTTTCTTTATTCAAAAACTATGTATTATCTTTATTTCTAACTACTGCACACACATTCTTTCTGCAAATGGTTATATTGGCCACCAAGAGTTATTATGTAATAATACAAATGCTTAATTTGCATTACCATCAAGAGGAATAACAATCAAGCACGACGCCCAGCACAACTTTTGTGGTAGGGCCACGCAACAGTGTTCATTGTTGCACGAATGGGCAGGTCGATCCGGGTTAGTACCACGACCCCACAGAAGACAGGCCTACAGTAAAGGAGTTGTGTTACACTTCTGCGTATCCTCTGGTGAGTGAGGTTGCCGGGGCCCACGGCAACTTAACTTTAAAGGTGGCAACGCATTTGCAACCCTACGGGTGTTGGAACGCGTGTCTTTTCACTATCCTAGCATCGTTATTTGGCGGGAAAGCAGTTATAAATCCAATAGATCATGGTACAGCTTTGTACCTAGTTATAATTTTTCACACGGGTTAAGCTGTTCGTCAGTAATGGAGTCGTTCAACCGGTGCAAGATTAACTCTATCCGTTGGACGTCGTAAAAGTTGACGAGGGGAAATGTCATAAAGTGCTTTTACGGCGGTGACACATCCTTTACCATTTTTTTTTTTCGAATGCCGATTCAAATGCAGCGTGGCGAAGACATTAAATCTCTTAGTACTTAAAAAAATAGTTCATCATCTTATTGTCCATTGATTAATTATCGTTAACGAAATAAATAAAACATGAAAAACAAATTAATCATCCAATCATGTATGATAATAGAATATAATTGTATAAGCAATTCATAAAATGCTTCTATTGACCTATTAAGTATACCATAATGTTAACTTAATATTGTTCCAATAGGTTTTTTATGTGAGAAGGTGGCAGAGGAGCGGGGAGGTTTACTTGATGTTAAGTGATAACCGCCGCCCACGCACAAACCTGTAAAACATGCGTTAAGACTTTTTGGTGACTAAAAGGAAAAAAATATCAGGTGTATTACATTTTTTTTAACGAAAAATATGCAAAAAAGCGGATACCTACGGAGTTGCTTTCGCCTGTTTCTTTTCCGCTAGAGGAAGCTCATTAACAAACGGTGGTAGATTAAAAAAAATATATGACTATCGATAGATGAAATGTAAGTTTCTTATGTCTTGATTTTGATTTTGATTTTTGAGTAAAGTAAGCCCTGACTAACTCACTCACCAGACGAAACGCAGAAGTATAACACTTCTACTTCATGGCGGTCTTCTGTGAGGTCTCGGTACTTACCTGGACAGAACCTGCTGATTCGTGCAACAGCGAAGACTGTTGCGTGGCCCTACCAAAGCACCTAGATAGATCTGGCTCAAACGTTGATTTCATATGATAGCATATCTATATATGGATAAACAAAATATACAAAATACGTCACACAAGACCAAATACGTTAATAGTTTAGATATATTTATTCCACAGAGATAGACTCTAGTAGACCTTCCCTCATAGTATATTGTTTTAATAGTAGCCAATGATACCTCTTCAAAAAGAATCAGGCTGTTATCGTGCTTTAATAAACACTGAATTCTATTAACGTCGAAACTCGAACGCGCGTAAACCGTCTGGAAATTTAAAAAGCCGTATAATGACGTTGTGCACACATATTTGTGGAGTCGTCGATAGGAGATTGTCCAGTTCCATAGTGTTTGTTCAGGATATTTGCGAACGCAGCCGGAAGGCGGGTCAGAGACCTTGCGAGCAAGCGGGCGATCCTTCAGCGTGGCGTACACGCTGACAAATTGTTTAGTTCGAGTTACAAGCCGTAGCGGTAACAAAACGTATTCAAACGTGGCCAATTGCGAAACTCCTGTGGTGGGACCACACAACAGTGTTCACTGTTGCACGAATGGGCAGGTCCGTCCGAGTAAGTACCACGAACTCACAGCAGACCAGCGTACAGTAGAAGTGTTACACTTCTGCGTTTCGTCTGGTAAGTGAGGTAGCCGGAGCCCACTTTATCTATAGGAGGCAACACATTTGCAACCCTACGGGTGTTGCAAATGTCCATGGGCGGTGATTATCACTTAACATCAAGTGAACATACTTTTCACATCAAAAAAACTCCGTAATAATTATTGCAGTCAGATATTCTGGATCGGTGTTCCCAAGTGTTTCCAAGGTCGAACTAGCCGACATCGCAAAATTCGGATGTCGCGCCCACCTAGAGATATATTTTGATCAATAAAAATGTTACGTTAGTAAGTATTGACCAAAATTTGTCTCATGACGTTTATAAAACTCTGTTTATATTAACCTATTTTCTAAAATTCTTTATAAAACCTCACATGTTTTTGTTAATTAAGCTCGCTAGATGATGCACTATTGTTGTACTGTATAGAGCAGCCATAAAATTAGAACTGATTTAATAAAATACAAGCGGTTCTATGATCTGATTAATCAAAAATTATTTCAATAGAACCTGCTACGGATATTTCGCATGTTTCAAACGCTCCTGCTCAATTTTTCCTTCCCAATTTGGAAGCCTGTCTATAAATCTTCAATCGTGCCACCGTTATTTGTTCCGATCACGTTTCTTTTCTATTAATCAAATTCTTTATGAAAATGAGGAATCAGACAAAAAAAAAGTACCGTCTAAAGAGCAGAAAGTGTTATTCTTACACTTACTACTTACCTAAAACCCTCTCCGTCTCATGTTTAGTGCATGGAAGGGATGTATTGCTCGCTTTAAGATTCTCCGCGGCTCGCCATCTCTTGTACCCCGATGGAATTCTCGCTCTAAGGTTCTCCGCGGCCCGCCACCTCTCGTGCACTTGGGCCGTCCGCCTCGCGCTCTCCGCCAACAGGTTGTGTAAACGCCTCTAAGACGACACGGTGCGTTCTCACGCCGCCTCGGTTCCGGCCGGTCTGCGCGGCGCGGGTCCGTCCCTAGTGTCGCTTTGAAAAATTACCAAGTCGTCAGGCGTTGCGACCAGTACGGTGCGACGTTGACGGTTCCCACAGCGGGGCCGATTTCTTCTCGCTCCCCGGTTCTTTTCCACTTGACAGTCTCGAGGTGTTGAAGCCTGTATGTATTTAGCCGTCGAAGAGATCTAGAAACGCGGCAAGTTCACTTATTGGAATTGTTATTTCCCCTTCTGATAATTGCGACGCGACCTAACTTCAAGCCAATCTGCATGCTTTCGTAATTGACATTTTATGCCGTCTAAGCGGATTGTCATTCATAATCCACAGAGCCAAACTACATAAAAAAAGCTTTCAAAGACTTATTAAAGAGGATGTTAAGGACATAAGAAAATTATCGTTTAAAAGACACATCGAAGGCTACAACCGGCGAGCAAGGAACTAAACTATTATCTCACTCGAACTCGGCCTCAAGATACAGTGAAAAGGCAACAACGCTCCACCGCGAGGGCTGCCAAGTATGGTTTGAATGCATACGCGAAGTGTTAATATTCCGTTATAAATTTTATATACACAATATAAGCTTGTCTCGGAACAGCGAGTGGTTTTGTCACACGCGTAAATTGCGTTCTACAGTATGCGGTGAAGTTTTTATTAGCCACAACCCATATTAGCGACCCATACTTTTTGTTGTCAGCGCTTAAACAGTTTTCTTCTTTCCATGCGGCGTTTCGTAGGAACAAGCCGGTCGTTTATATTCACATAGCTTATTACTACTATGTTTACATACAACTGCTAGTGAATGAGTTGCATGATAATGATTCCTTACTCCTTTTTTGTCGATTTACAGTCTTCGCGTCGTAGAAGGTTGTATAAATTACGTATGTTTGTATAAAAGTCACATTTCTTACAACACGTATCCTAATACGTAACTACATGATACAGCATGTAAATTTAATAACATTTGCCTGATCTCAGATCGAGAGAATGTTGAAAATTCATACATTTTTTTTTATTTTATTTAGGATAGTTTCACATAGGCTTAGTGCCTATGTGAAACTATCCTAAATACAGTAGTTCCATTGAAACTTACTGACCATCGATTTATGGACATAAACCTTAAAATTGGAGTTGGAAAAGCATCGTCTGATTATTTATTACTTTGACTTTTCTATTAAATTCATTTGTATTCGCATTGATAGATATATATGTAAGTACTAATTTTTTACCAGCGTTGGTAAGGCAGATTATTTCTCTTGGAATGGGCATTATCGTTGTTAGTCGTATTTAACAAATATTTAATCTACATCGTCTAAGGGGCCAATAACCGGTTTCGGAGAAACGAAATTCCATTGGAAACGAAATTCCATTGGAAACGAAATTCCATTGGAAACGAAATTCCATTGGAAACGAAATTCCATTGGAATCGAACGATTTATTTAAGACCCACTGAACTGACCGGTTAATTGATTTTTTGTTGCCTTAACATTTACTTGTAAATGTCTTAACGTTTTACTTGTAAAGCCATAATAAATGTTACAATTACGTGGAAATATGCCTGTGGCTCGTCGAGATGCCTGCTGCGATAATTATTGTACGCCTTGATCTATTAATGCTAACTCGTTAAAGTCGACAACTTTGACCACCTCAGCCGTTTAACACATAAAATTAATAACTATTTGAATTCAACTATGATCATCTATCGCAACATCGTCACTAACAAATCAAAAAATAATTTTTTTTTTCAATATATGCTAAAGTATCAGCCTATACATGTCCCACTGCTGGGCAAAGGCCTCCTCTGTACAGAAAGTATCAGGGCATAGTCCACCACGCGGCCACTGCGGATTGGCGGACTTCACATATCTTCGAAATATATTTTTAGTTATTACTTCGGAAATATGCACGTTTCCTCACAATGTTTTCCTTCACCGCTGAGCACGTGATAATTCGGCACTTAAAATTAACAATTTCATTGGTGCAGGCACCGGGGATCGAACTCAGGTTGCTCTAGTATATTGGACTAAAGGCGAGCGCCCGGACACTGAGCTATCACGGCTCTTATATTTATGCTAAACTAAGTTTAAATTTTAACCACTTAAATGGCTACGATATAACTGATTAACTTTAGTGAATGAAACATTTACTAAAGCAATCATAAGGATCAGTTTTCCATTCGGTTTAGATTGAGCATTATCAGTTGTCGGTATCTATTCACGTCATGGTTTTATATCCACTATGCACCGTTCGCAAATGGCAACAGTAGCTTGTCAACCGCGATTCCTTGAATGTGCATTTTGTTACGCACGGCAACCCTACGCGTGTGAGGCCGGGGGTGGCGGGGAGGCGTGTGTGAAATTAAGGGCATAACCGGCAGCGGACATTACTGGTCCTAGCATTTCATTGTAAATGGATAATGCGCGGGCTCATTTGCTTCCAAGAACCGCTTGCTGGGGCCGCTCTAATGGACGCGCAGGACTCCGGGACGGCGGGAATGCGAACGCGATGGTCTCGACTTTTTGTCCGTTCGCTTGCGAGCATTTAAAGGGACCGATCGCTCGAAATGATCATTTATTTATGGAACAATTAAGACATTTGACGTCGAAAGTAATGCGCGATAGCATCTCCGCTTTACCGTCGGCCGCCCTTCGGTTATTAATTTCGGTCGAAATGGTACGTGTGTAGAGTGAGACAAAGTCCGCGATGGTAGACAGTAGGTCTACCAGGCTTCATTAACGCTTTTCATTTGTTAGGAAAAATATTGGCGAGCTATTTATAGAGAAATACTAGGTCCAACACACCATGTGAAAGGGTTATTACTTCGAAGTTCCAAAGTCGGCGCAATAGGATTTTAGAATAACGCATTATTAACACAATGACTATGACGGAGTATGTATGATATTGAATCATACATGCTCAATGATAGTCATTGGCTATATTAGCTACTGTATAAGGCTTTCCACGTATTATTGTGCGTGCCCTTTTCTGTGTCGCGTTCATCTGCGATCACAAAATTCGTAGCCATAGCTGAATCTGTAATTAACACCTATATCTTTTCTTCTTTTCTTATCACTTTTCTCTGTAAGAACACGCTAACATCCTTTATTAAGGTTTTCCATGTTTAGCCAGTTTTTAGCAACACCGAGAAGGTTAAGAATAACGCTGCATATTTATTTCTTACGTTCACTCGCATAGAAACAATTACAACAAATTAGAAAATTTAGCCTCTCTTAACCTTTCTTTATCGCCATCGACACTTATTTATTAGAACACGTTGAAATTGAGTGTAATCTTAGACCATAAACATTATCGTTAATTTATTTCAATTTACGACCTCACTTCTACTTCTTCATGATTTAACGACTTTCAATAGTCCGTGATGACTGGACCCGCCCGCAACTCGGGCATTTTTATTTCACTGGATTCTTCATAAATTCCAACCCAGTGTTGAGGCTATTCAGTTTTTTTACGCATAGACGCGTCGGTAGCTAGCCGGCGGTCATGGTGTATCAACGTACAAACAGCAATGGACGCCCACATAAAACTTTTATAGGGCCCATTGTGGTGCTACGATAAATCCCATAATCTATACGTAATCTGACCCGATCTTCGTGGGAGGGCGTTAGGAGCGCCCGATTGATGCCTTCGACAAATCCTATGAAAAACCATCACTGCGGGCCCTCAGCGCAAGTTAAAATTGTCGGATACAAAACTGGTTCACTTTAAGCACCCATTCGACTTATCGTAGAACAATTTAGAAGAGGTTCATAAAAATTGTAGAAGCAAGTTAATATTAATAAACACAAGACACCATTGATGAAAGTTCGTTTTATTAAGCTAAATTATGTATTCTAGCACATTAACTTACTCTCACAACAGTTTCCTACAATATGCATTTTTATTATACTTCTGACGTTTCTTGAACCTTTGCGTCTTCACTTTAATACTCGCTAATTTTTAATTGACGCTTTCAAAACAGTGTCGCCTGCTTATTGTTACGTTGTGGTTTAAAGTTACCAACAAATAATGTAAATCCTTACATTCACTGCATTCCACTGACATGCTTCAACAACAGTATGTTCAGCCTGGCCGTGTAGGTTTGCCAGTTGTATCTATTAGCGCTTACGAGTTGCCTACCCCAGGTTGGAAATGATCGATCGTTTCCACAACATTGTTGCATAATGGCGTAGTTACACTGAGTGGCATATCAGGAATTGCTCTGTCATTTCCAGTGGGTCAGTGTCCTATTATATATAGTACCGTCGGAACATATTGCCCGAATATGACCTTAATCAGTGAAGCCGTTTGGTATTTAGACGATTAGATTAATCTCGGTTATATAACACGCTGTGCGGGGTATTTATTCATTAATTGTAATCAAAATGTGGTAGGGCCACACAACAGTCTTCGCTGTTGCACAAATGGGCAGGTCCGTCCGGTTATGTAGCACGGCTTCACAGAAGACCGGCGTGAAGTGGAAGTGTTATACTTCTGCGTTTCGTCTGATGTTATTGAAATGTGGCAACGCATCTGCAACCCTATGGGTGGTGTAAATGTCTATGAGCGGCGGTTATCAACTAAAATTAGGTAAAACACCTGCTCGCTTCTCATCTTCTCACATGAAAAAAATCAAATTTGCTTTAAACTGGCCGAGTGGCTTACTCGTATTTCCTCACTGAGATGCACAAACGGTCAGACAGTAAGAGTTCTATTACGAAGCACACAAGCGTGTATACTCGACGTTCCCAGTGGAGCCAACGCGTTATCCGCCTACGTATCGCGGCCTAAAACGCTAAAGCTTTTAAGGTTGAGTTCCACCAAGTCGGAGCGCTTATCTTAAATGCGCCGCGCCTGAGTGTCACTGGCGGCATTGTCATCAGCGGTTGTCAGGATCGCGGCGGATGCCACTGGCAATAAATATCCCTATCTAAATGGTGGGTATTGGTCAGTCGCTAAGATCGCCTCGCGGTGAATCAACATGGCGGACCAAACCGTTCGCTATCGTTCTATATTCAAATGTTGAATTATCTAGTATTACCGTGAAGTAGGGTTAAATGTCATCGTGTAAGATTTTTCGTTTTTTTTTTGTTATAAACATCTTTACATTAGTGAAGTTAGGCTTTCAACTTTCTTCTATTTATTTTATAACTCATTTTACAAGAAAAAGCAATATAGGGACTACGGTATAAACAATTTATACTGTTACGACTAATTTTCGTATTACTTTATGTTATGTTTGTTTGTTAGTTTTCGTATTACTATATTTTTTATACTTTTCGTATTACTATTATTTTGTACGTATTTACTGCGTATGAATCTTTAAGGACTAAAATTTGAAGCCAAATTGACGGTATCCTTTTAGATTTACGTCTGTAATAAAAAAAACTCAAGAACCTGATAATCCAAAGTGTTTATATTCTGCTTACAGTGTCTCATTAAAAAAAAAAATTTTAGTCTTTTAATAATATGGAGTACACCACGCCTACTGACTGTATATACGAGTATTCTCTCATCAAAGGTAAACATAAACAAACAAAAACCGTACCCCAAAAAATAAAGGTTTCACCCTCAAAACATTCGTTGGTTCTTAAAAACTAGCGCGTGTATTGAGTTGAGACATATGCCCAGTAAGTAGCGACACCCCCAACTATGTACTCATTCGTACAGTCGTCGAACACGAAACGCGGCGATCGCCTGGCGGCAACGCGAGTCTCAATATCAAATGACAGCCCGGGGTTCAACGACCCCGCTCTCACACGCGCCCGCGTGACCCTGGGCGGCCCACGTTGTTACGAAACGAATGCAACGCCGTTTTATTTATTGGTGAAATTCTGACGATGCGCCTCGGAATCCGGCCCGGCGAGAGGCAACCCGCCTTGAGTTATCTGCGGAGCGGACATTCGTGATAAATCGCTCGTCAGTACGATAGCTGAGGCCGCCGCACAGCCAGTAGAACACTCCTTAATGGACTGGTAGCTTCTTGAGAGAGGTGGCAAACGAGCGAACGAATATCCTGATATGTAAGACCTTATGAACAAGCCTACGCCCGCCATTGATTTTGCAGATCCTAAACAGTAACTCCCTTTGGATAGCTTAAACATCCATTGATATGTT